AAGGGACAGGCCTCTTTATTTGCCCGAATTTAGAACTGCATTAAATAAATGGGCTCAAGCTCAAAAAAATGGTGCTGTTTGTCTTTGACAGAGTTATAAAGCCCATAGAGCTTAGAAAAAACAAGGAAGGACGTCCTGGTGCAGATGGGAAACGAATAATTAGTTTTCCTACAAAGAAAATAAAACAGGCTGCAAGATGCAGAAAACCACATTTAGGCTCTATTACATTTACAAATACATACATAAATATATTACATACAACAGCAACTCAAAGAGGAAGCGGGTGAGTCACACAGAGGATGGCTGGCTGGCTGCAGTTCTCCCCGCACAGACTTTTGGCTGAGCTTCTTCTCCTAATAATTCCAGGAATAGGCTTCATCATCTTTTCTTTTTCTCTTCTGTTTTTTCTCCTCCTCTCCTTTCATTGTCTCCCCCCTCCCCGGTTTCAGACTTAGTTTGTCCAGTATGGAGAAGTGCCATAGGCGGTTTTGGTAGCCTGAGACTTTTGCTGCATGGTGCTGGGTTGGTTGCGTTGGCCAGATCCACCCTAGAAATCAGAAAGGAAGGAGACATGGTCATCAGCGCTCCCAGGACGACAAGCCCATCTGAACATCACCAGAAGACCTGCTGCCCCTGGGGACAGCCCTGACACCCAGCAACACAGCGATGTTCCCCCCAAATGGATGTTTCTTCTCTTCAACATCTCTATGTCTCACAATCCAGGACAAACGGCCAGAGAGACACCGAGCAGGAACGCAGGGACACACCACCCACCCAAGACAGGTTCAAGCACAAGGAAGGAGGGCAGCAGGACTGGGGACAGCAAAGGAACTCTCAAGGTGAACAGAGGTGGTGCACCAGCCAAGGATGTCACATATTCGGAGAGAGAAGTCATTTCCTATTTCTGGACTCTAAGGCAGAACAGTCTGTTTTGTCAGGGAACATTTATAGTGAGGAAAGGAAACACATGGGCTGATGAAATCAAATCAGAAATTGGAGCCGACATACAACCTGCAAGGGGGTGCTTGGTTTTACCCCCCCGAGTTACAGTCCAAGTGCTCATGTCCCGCTCTCCTGCTGCAGCCAGGGGACAGCAGTGCCTGCCTCAGCTTCTCGCCTGGCAGCCTATCTCTCCACACCCCCATCAGGATGGCCTCTTCACAGAATCACAGGCTGGCTGAGGCTGGGAGGGACCCCTCGAGGTACCCTGCCCAATCCCTCTGCTCAGGCAGGGTCACCTACAGCCAGCTGCCCAGGACCATGTCCAGACATCTCCAACGATGAAGACTCCACAACCTCCCTGGGCAACCTGTGCCAGTGCTTGGTCACCATCCCAGTAAAAAAGTGTTTCCTGATGTTCAGAGGGAACCTCCTGTGTTTCAGTTTCTGCTCGTTGCCTCTGGTCCTGTCACTGGGCACCACGGAAAAGAGCCTGTTTCCGTTCCCTTTACACTCTCTCTTCAGGTATTTATATACATTGATAAGATCTCCCTGAGCCTTTTTTCCTCCAGGCTGAACAGTTTCAGCTCTCTCCACCTTTCCTCACAGGAGAGATGATTCAGTCCCTTCATCACCTGTGGGGCCCTTTGTTGGACTCTCTCCAGTACATCCATACGTCTCTCGTACTAGAATCACAGAATGCTTTGGGTTGGAAGGGACCCTTAGAGCTCATCCAGCCCAACCCCCCTGCAGTGAGCAGGGACAGCTTTAACCAGATCAGGGTGCTCAGAGCCCCGTCCAACCTGACCTGGAATGTTGCCAGGGATGGGGCCTCTACCACCTCCCTGGGCAACCTGTGCCAGTGCTTCACCACCCTCATTGTAAAAAATTTCTTTCTAATATCTATTCTAAATCTATTCTTCTTTAGTTTAAATCCTTTATTCCTTGTCCTGTCGCAACAGGCCTTGCTAAAAAGATTCTCCCCATCTTTCCTGTAGGCCCCCTTTAAGTACTGGAAGGGAGTACTAGGTTAAGTTAAGTACTAGGGAGGCCTGGAACTGGACACAGCACTCCAGGTGTGGCCTCACCACTGCTGAGTAGAGGGGAAGGACCAGCTCCCTCCACCTGCTGATGATACTGTGCCTTAATGCAGCCCAGGATACCGCTGGCCTTCTTCATGGCAAGGGCACATTGTTGGCTCATGGTCAACTTGGTGTCCACTGGGACCCCCAGGGCCTTTTCTGCCAGGCTGCTTTGTCCCCCTGCACGTACTGGTGTGTGGGGTTGTTCCTCCCCATGGGCAAGACTTTGCACTTCCCCTTGCTGAGCTTCATGAGATTCCCTCCCCAAGGTGGTCAATGGCATTGAGTTTGTCAGTCTGCAATCATTGTCAAGGCCCTTTCCCAATGAGCAAAGCAAAAACCAGAAGGAAGCAAAAAAACCCCAAGACCCTGCTGGGATGTGGGTTGGAGCAACCTGCCCTCAGGCACGTGGTAGAGGCAGAAGGGGCCGACTCACCTGCCCATCTTGCTGAAGATGGTGATGCAGCATCTGGGAATGAGGCTGCTGATGCGCAGGCAGGATATGGAGAAACGGGGCTGGAGCATAACCTGGGGCAGCACCAGGGTTCAGGGGCCCAGTCGATCCGAGAGCAGAGGGCAGGCTGAAAGGAGGTGGCGTGCCAGCGTGGAATCCCTGCTTGTCAAACGTCTGCACAGGAGATGAGCGGGACAGCATCAGAGACTGGTGTGAACAGCCCTCATGGTGACCACACAAGAAGAAAAGTGGCCCAAGCACACATCACCTGAACCTTTCGCCAACTCTGTAAGCAAGCCAAGTCACTTCGAATAGCTGTGAGCACTTCAGCAGATGAGTTTCAGCTCCTGTTCTCACCCATATTGCTGCACTAATGCCTCCGACATTTTGTTTTCTTTTTATTTCCACAGATACTGTATTCCTTTTTTCCCTGACCTCTTTTTACTCAGTGGGACATGGGATGGCAGCAGCCACCTGAAATCAGTCCTTCACACATTGCAGGGGCTCAGCCTGAAATTAGTCGACCTACCCAGGGCAGCCCAACAAAAATGCAAGAAGAACTTGCAGTAAGATTTTCCTCCCCATGGCCAAAGCTTGACCCCTAACGCTAAGCATGTAGCTGAGAGCTGGCTTCCTACCTGTAAGCATGGATCACAGCCAGACACCGATTCCCCTGGCTGAGGGTGCAAGGGGGAGAAAACAGGAGCTGGACATTAGCCCTCTGCACACCACAGCTTGTCAAAGCACTTTCTGCTTTCCCTGGGAAGCTGTATGCTGAGCAATGGCCAGAGCAGAGTGTAGGACAGGGACCTTGGGTGTTTGGGGTGCACACTACTGACTGGTCTCTGGTGAAAAGAAAACAGCCTCTCGACTCACCTGCTTTGGGGGCTATTTTGACTAAAAACATTAGTGCCATCAAATTTCATTTGCACCCAGGACACAGCTTGCGTGATGCAGTGTGCAGCAGTGTAGAGCATTGCACCTATGCCAGCAGCTGCCGTCAGGAGGGGACATGGCCGGAATGGTGGGACAGAGGGTGAGACTCCACTCTAACAGCAAACAGAGCCAGCGTAAGAAATGACACGGCCTGCTGACCCTGAGACTGACCAGCCTGGGAACAGGAGAGGAGCCACTAGCCAGGCCTCAGGCCATGAGGGAAGAAGGTCCAGCGTTGCTCACCTGAGTCTTGTTATAGACTGAGCCACTGATATCAGGCACACCTGTGTTACTTGAGGTCACAGAAACACCTGGAAAACAAAAAAAGCCACCGACAATGAGAAAGACAACCACCACCCAGCATGAGCCCCCTCCTGGCACCTCCAGTGGCCTCGATGGATGCACCTTCGTCCGCAGCCACTGCACCGCACACCCTGCTGCTGCTGCCGGCCAGCCCAGCAGGGTTCTCCATGCTCTTAGGCACCCCACATGGGAACAGAAGAAAGGGCTCAGTTCCTCATTCCCGCTGCAAAGTGGGAAACCAGCTCACTGGGATAAATCACCCATATCCACAACCCAGCGGTTACTACTTGGATTCAAATGCACTTCACCAGGAAGCAGCTGGCTGCACCGAACGCTCATTTAAGCTCGTGAAAAGCCAACTTTCCCCTAGGATTAGGGATGCATTTGGCTCTTTTGCAGCATTCAAGAGCTTTCCAGTAGTGTGCTGAGCAATGAGACTCAGCATCTGCTACTCATTTGAGCTCTTGTCCTTTCACATCCTGCAGAAGGGTGAGGTCTGCAATGCTCCTCTGCCCTGAGAGAATTAATACCACTGATTCAGGGCGGCTTCAGCTGGACCAGCTGGTGCCACAACAGGCTCAGAAACGCTCACTTACCGAGGTGGCTTTCAAAACCAGCCACTTATTCAGAGTCTTATAAAGACTGGCTCTAATCATTTCACTTGAATCAGAATAAAACCAGCAGTTCCTTTGGCCAGTGAATCAGAGGACTGGACTTAGAGGGTTTGCACTGCTCTAAGGTTGTGCCGTTCCTAGGACTTTGCTCCTTTTTGGATCGCTCCTCCACAGATGAGAGCGTGATCAGCTCTTGGCTGAAGACAGTCCAGTTGGTGTTTCAAAGGCACAGCAAATGCTTGGTACTTGCTTAAGCCCAAGGATGAACTAGTTAGCGCTAAGCAGTTCAGTATACATTTCTCAGGTGTCAGCATGTGCAGAATAAAGCTTTCATATAATCTGTATAAATTCTTCAGCCTTTACAGTCACAAAGGAAACATTTCAAGGCATGAAACAATTCATGAGTTACAGGGTGTATGGACAGCAGCTGAAACAACAGCCCAGAGACGTGTGAACTGCCCTGCTCGCCCCTAGCACATGGCTATCTTGGATGCCTACCAAGAAACTCAAAATCTAGTCTTCATTCAGCAGAGGACCATTTCAGCAGCAGCATCCAACTGCTTAAACTTAAAAACACGGCACTGCTGCATGACCACTATTCTTCAAGCAAAGAAAACTTTGGCAGAGGAAACAGCTCACCATTTCTCCCATGTATAATTATGGACAAAGCTGCACATCAGCCACACCAATCCTTATGCAAAGTTCAGCCATGAGGTTTAGAAAGAACACTTGGGCTATTAAAAAAGCATTTTGTATACGGGAGATGGAGAAACAGCTTGGATCGTGACCCTGTTTAGAGCTGGCTGCTGTGTTGACTGCACAGCACTGGCAATACTGGGAGTTTGCCCTGCTAAATCCCACTCAAGAGCAACCTCAAGTCTCGTGTGTTACCTTTCCCAGGTCCAGTGCCAGCAGATTTGTTTTGTGCTTGAGATGACCCACTGTAGCCTCCTTTGCTGTAATCTCCAGCTGCCGTTCCCTGCGTTAAGTCATCATAGCCTGCCGGTGTGTACAAGACAAGGTGTTACAGTGTGCAAGCAGCTCTGCAGACGCTCACATGTGAAGCGCAGTGGTAAGCGTACCTGCTCCATAGCTGTGCTGCCCATAGCTACTCGCTTGCTGGAAAGGAGTCGATGCGGTGTTCAGGTTGACTCCATGCTGTTTAGCAGATGCTGGAGGTACCTGGACAAAGGAAGGGAACAAAAGGCGTGGTTAACTGGGAACAGCACACAAAATGCAAGCTCCCTCTGCCATCTAGTGGGGAAGGCACCTCCACCTCACGTGGGAAACGTAATCTGGAGTTGGGAGCACTGGGATGGCATGGGACATGGCACTCACGTTTCCAGCAGTAACTTGCTGTAGTGGATTTGTGCAAGCCCCAAGTTTTCTGCTAGAGCTGCCTCTCTGATTGCAGTGCAACCCTGTTTCAGAACAGGCTGCATATTTCTTTCATACACTGAATGTAAACAGCAAATTCTTACCCACAAACCCAAGAAGAAGCAACCACAGTACTCTCCCTCCAGAATCAAATGAACGTCAATTCCTGCCTGAGGCTGTTTCATAAAACACAGTCCTACAGGGCCTTAAAATAGACTCATCTACCCTGCTGCCTGGAGCATCACCTCTTCCCAAATAACATTCTCCCTCCTGAGACCACCAGCACTGCTCTCTGACTTAATGGGGTCTCCTCCAGCCTCAAAAGGATTTCCTAGGTACTCTCAGCTCGCTGACTCAGCTTTGGGTCTCCCCTTGACTCTCCAGAGACTGGCAAGGGCTTTCAGGAACACTGAGTCCATGAACTGCAGCTGTCTGCTATTTACAGTAACCTGTGCAGGAGTCTATGAGTTCTGGCCTTTTAAATTTCCTGTTTTCTTGGGGCAGGGTCTGCAGCTATTTTCTCATGCTTGTATGTTTTTGGAGATCGCTTTCAGACTGGGGAAGATGACTCTGCTCTGCTGTCATGAGACCCCACCTGAGTACTGGATCCAGCTCTGGGGTCCCCAGTATGAGAGAGACATGGACTTGCTCGAGCAGGACCAGAAGAGGCCATAAAAATGATCCAAGGGCTGGAACATTTCTTCTATGAGGACAGGTTGAGAAGTTGGGGTTGTTTAGCCCAGAGAAGAGAAGGCTCTGGGGAGACCTTATGGAGGCCTTTCAGTACTTAAAGGGGGCTTATAAGAAAGATGTAGAAAAACTTCTTACCAGGCCCTGTAGTGACAGGACAAAGGGCAACAGTTTTAAACTGAAAGAGGGTAGGTTTAGACTGGACATAAGGAAGAAATTTTTTATGACGAGGGTGATGAAACACTGGAATAGGTTGCCCAGAAAGGTGGTAGGTGCCCCATCATTGGAAGTGTTTAAAGGTCAGGTTGCATGGGGCTTTGAGCAACCTGGTGTAGTGAAAGATGTACCTGCCCATGACAGGGGGGTTGGACTAGATGATCTTTGAAGGTCCCTTCCAACCCAAGCCATTCGATGATTTCAAGATGTAGAATGTTTGGGCTGGAGAGAGCAAAACCAGAGAGGCACGATGGAAGGGTTACAGTTCTGGCTGTTAGACTTACAAACATGGTTGGCCCATACTGGAATGCACTGGGTACGCCGGGCACACCAGCATAATAAGGTAACCCAGTGTAGCTGTACCCCGGGGGCAGGGTTGGGTTGAGGAAGGGCTGCTGAGTTGTATGGTGCGTCTGCGTCTGGTTCTGCTGCGGCTGGGCGAGTGTGGTAGCAGGAGCAGGGGAGGCAGAATCCCCACGGCCAAATTTTGTTACGTCACCTGCGAAAGAAATAACTGGTCAGAAAAGCCATCAAAGCCACTCCAAACGTGGAGGACTCAAAGGATTCAAATCCTCTGAATACAAGTAGACAACTACAGAAGAGAGCACATCCTACACTTGAAAGCCTGCAGTTGTTCATGGGAAGTGCTCTGGAAGTGCTCTGTTCCTGGTCTCTGTTCCTGATGGCCACAAGCATATTGCCAGTTTATGGCACAGAACTCTGTGCCATGGCTAATCCATTGATAAAATGGAGATACCGATACTTACCTATCTCACACGGTCTGAGCAGATTCATTACTACCAGATCATTGCAATGCATCAGATCATGCTAAAAGCAGAAGTATGGTAAATAGCCAAAGAGCACATGGTTTTTGGGTTAAAGTGCGACTCTCCTGGAGGTTAAACTGATTAGCTAAGCTTCATGGGCTGAAAACAAGTTAGGATTTACAGGCAGCGATGGGCATATTTTTATGTCTGTTTATTTGTCAAGCATGACTAGTTAGATGTCCGGTTCCTCACACCACCAAAGTTCTGGAGACAGTAGCTGAAGGCCAGGAAAGCAAGGCTTGCATCGCGGGCCACCTTATTGAAGAAGTAGGAAGGGAAATTCAGTTATTAACCCAAAAGCAGCCTTCTGAGAGAAGTGATTACAAAGCAGAAACCTCCCAAATTCTTGCATTTCCTGGCAGCCTACAGAGCAGCATGTTCACGTGTTTTTTAGGGAAGGTGACATAGATCAATCACATCTATCTCGTTCCCAACCAGTATTCCTTTTTGTTGGTTACCAAGAAGTGTGACAACACTTAACACCATCATTACAGGAATTATAACACCTACAGCTACAGTTTTAAGCTGTAATCAGATGGCAGTTGATGAAAACCACTGGCTGAAAATCATGGATGGCATTAATGTCATCTTTGCACAGATAACTGAAGAGTAAGAGCAGTAATGAGGAAGGGCTTCTTGGACCACATGCTTTTGGGAATGAAGTCCATTAGATCTGGGGAGGGTGACGGAGAGCCTGCTAGATGCAGCTCCTGCTGGGAACATACAAGTGCTAAAATAGCAGTTACAAAGTATGGGGAGCTGCTGAGGGGGGTCTATTCCAGTGCCAAAAAAGGAAAGCAAGCCAGGTGAATTTTGAGAAGAATGGTTAAGCTATGGAGTATTTTTCAAGCACCTGTGGTGTTTGGGAAGGGCACTAGATGACACTACTGTTTACATTCCTAACAATTTTGCACTTATTCTCCAAGGCTACCCAGCTTAGTCCCAGAAGTCCCGTATGAATTACTGAACAAAACCATGAAGAAACACCAGTGTCAGGGTTGAGTGGGAGATACTCACCTTTGTTTGACTAGTTTGGACTGATGGGTTTAACTGTTTACAGACAGGAGAAACAATTGCTCTTTCAACAACAGCAGGATGGCCTGTGTTTAGAAATGAGCACATCTCACTTACCATCCTCATCTTTAAATAGCACTCACCTGAGTACGGGTTGTTAGCAAGGCTCCCATCTCTGCCTGTCAAGGTTGCAGGAGCAGGGAATGTAATTCCATAGTAATCCTAGGAAAAAGACAGTATCATTTATTAATAGTTGAAACCGTAACAGAGCTGGACAGCTCTTATGAACCCCGTATTATATGCATAAAAAAATTTAAAAAGGAAGAACTAAAGGAAGTGTGAGCAGAAGCTGACCTGACTGCTTACAGCAGAGCTGAAGATTTACCTGGATCCTCAACTTCAAAATAAACCTGTTTTATAGAAGTTTTTAATATTATATACAAATACTTGATTGCTTAGTGGTAAGTTAAAGGCAACAACTAAATGCTTTCCCCTCCCAACCCTCAGCTCTGAGCTGTCATCTTCCAGCAAGACTGTGCCTGGAAGAGCAACAGACCACTGGGGGCCAAAGACCTGGGGTCAGGCCAGGACCGTAATCACAGCGTGGATGTAGTCTAAAGGTTTTATCCTTGTACCATGCCCTGTTTTCTGAAAGTGGAAACATCAGCTAGGAAAACAGCACAAACATTAAAAAACAGAGAGAGAAAAAGAGTTACTACCAGATGACTGGAAGGTTTATTTAAACTATGTTACAGGAGACCTCAGACCAGTAGACTCCAAAGTGGGGTGGGCAAGACAATCCATTGGGGTGCATGAAAAAAATGGGTTTTGTACCATTAATAAATGAAATTTTAAGAATTTAAAAATAGTGTTTAACCTTTCTCTCCTCCTTTTTTGTTTTTTTTTTTTTTATTTTTGTTTATGTTTTATAACATACATATTACTACAGTAGTATATGTGTATAATTTAGAAATAAAAATATAGTGGGGGCAAATGCTCACAAATTTTTTACTGATGGGGCGTGTGATCCAAAAAGGTGGAGACCAATGCCTTAGATCATTCTTCTAGGTCCTCTACAGGAAGATAAGACAGTCCTCACCCTAGAAAGCTTGCACTCCAAGATGACAGGACATGCCAGCAAAAACAAAGCAGCATTTTGTCGTCAGTTTGGAAGAAAAAGAGGAAAGTTTGCCCTTTGCTCTCTGAGTGAACTCCACATGTGGGTCTGGTACTCTACTAAGCGTTTTTCCTCCTAATTCTCATGGTTTACTCCTCACCACCTCCAATCCATCAAGAATTAATGCTTTAACCACTAATGCATCCACTTCCACACATTCTCCAAAAACATCCTCCTCCTTCATACCCCTCTCTGCAAATTCCCCAGCACCTCAAATGCTTTCTCAGAGCTGACAGCACCTTCCACCTTGCTGCATTTCTGTGCATCAATCCCTGTTTCCTACACCCAATCCTCCATCACTGAATGTGAAATAATTAGGCAATTAGTATTTATGATTTTTATTTAGTATTGCAGGTGTTTTCTGGAACTTGAAACAGTGCCATATTTTGCCATACTTTCCTTCCCAGGTAATTCCACCTTATCAGCTCTGGCACAAATCACTTAAAAAAACTTAACTAGATTCACATTGAAAGTCTTAGGAGGTTACTCAAAAGCAGCACTCCTATCTCCTTCTGAGGAAAATGCCACAAAAAGCAGACTTGGAGAAGAGATCCAAACAAGATTTGGTGGATATGAACTGGAACCAACACACGAGCATTGTCCCCTCTATAAACTTGACAAAATATAATAAAATCTGCATGAGAACAGGGTCTAAGGATTGCAGTTATTCCCACTGTCTCTCAGGTAGGTGAAAACCACGTCAGCACTGTATATCCCTATCCCACACACCTGTGCATACACACTTTCAAAACAAGAAATCATTATAAAATATGAGTGCAAGCCAGTTATCTTTGCACTTCCTGCCTACCCACAGGAAAACATCAGAAGAGATATTCTGCTCTTCAAACAACACAGGTATTTCCTGACCTAGAGAAGGCATGCAGGAGAAGGTACTGAAAGTCAAAACTGAAATATCAGGAATAGACTTGAAAAGTGAAACAGGAAAGGACTGAAAAATGATTAAGTGATCTGATGTAATAGATTTAAGCTCCACCAAGCAGTTTGCTAGGTACCATGCACACCAGCTAAGATATTTGTAAGATCTCTACTACACAGGCAGCCTGCAACAGACTAATGGAAAAGACAGCATCTCCCAATGTAAAACACACACACACACACAAAAAAACCCAAAGCAAAACCCACAAAAACACAGTCAGAATTTACAGCATCAACATACATAGTAACTAATTGAGTGAAACTAAAAAAAAACGGCCTCCCAAACCTCAGGGGAAACCCCCATTCTTGCTGTATCAGCAGCCACTGGTACCTCTCGCTGCTGGAAGCTTCCCAGGAAGCAGTGACGACTTGCACTTGGGACTCTGCCCACTTTCGCTTTCTAGAGGTAAGCGGACCAGCATGTCCAAGGCAAATACTGCCACCAGATCCTGCCTCCCAAAAACCTAATGTTGCCTCATTTCTACAAGAAGTTGAAAACAAACAAAAAAACCCCAAAATCTAGAAATCACAATCATTGCATGAATAGTTGATGAAAACATCTTTGCTATATTTATGCATATATTTCTAAATATCAACACACTGAGGACAAATAACTCGGGGGCAGGGTGGCAACAGATGACCCCAAAAATATTCTGCAAGATATTTTCAGAGAGAGGGAAAACTCCTCCAGCACCGAAGTTGCAGATGCTATAGAGAAAGGAAAAGGAAAAAAAAAAACAAACAAAAACTACTAACAAACTAAAAATATTTGTTAATAAGAAATAAAGGAAAATATGCATTAACTCATACATAAAAATAATATCAGTGCATGAAATAACAAAAATAGATATTAGTAGGCAGAGAAACTTGAAATAAAAGCCAAAAAAGACAACTCACAAAACAAACAAAAAGGAAGCCCTGAAACAAATTGCCAGCACAGCTGCCCCAAAAGCCTCTGCCACCATGCTTTCACAGACCCCAATAAACCCGAACACCACTGGAACCGGGCTTGACCCGCACCCCAACAGCAGCCCTGAGAAACAACCAGCTCCCATTCCCTAGGACAGGGCCACCTTCTGCTCACAATTTGACAAGCACAACAAAAGCCTGAAGGAGAAAGTAAATGGAAAGCAAAACTGAAAATGAAAACAGGGAAATTCTGCCTAGATGATGATGATGAAAGGAA